ATATTTTTTATTTTTTTGTATAATATTTCTTATAATAATATATTTTTTCTTGTAAAAAAAGAATATTGAATTTTGTTCTATTTTTTTAAATGATCTTATCTTTTACACAGAAAAGAAAAGCCGGAATCATATCTAATATTGACTTTTTACATACCATTTTATTTTTTCCAGGTTTTTTCTTTTCGCCAGCAATATAACGCAGATTTTAATCGATTTTATTAAGTTTCAGAAACAAAACGATGTTATGAATGATATTTATTTAAAAAATAGCTCAACTCTTTCATTCTTAAAATAAGCTAATAAAGGCTCTTATAAATATATCAGAAGAAGACAAAAGGCAATGAAAAGCCAGCGCGGAAATTTGTGCACATATGTTTTAATATCAATGTAGTTAAAATATCAATGTAATTTGATTATAATAAAACATATGCGTACAAATTACCGCACTGGCTCTGGATTGTCTTTCATTCTTAAATTCTCTCTCTCTCTCTCTCTGTTTTTTCAGTCTAAATTCATATTCATAAAAAAATCTAAATTTTTGTATTATTAAGTATTGCATGGATAAAATTTGTATTTCATGTTTACTTTTTCAAGCTTTATACTTGAAGGCAAATTTTATTCTATGAAACATTTATATAATTGGATTTCTTTTATAACAATCTTCCTTTTATAACAATTTTTTTCAATTCTCCTACATTAGATAGTTATTAAACTATAAAGTATAATTCTATTAAATTTTAAAATTGGGAGGAACTAATTGTAGAATAATGTTAAATTCTTTTATTCATATACTTGTCTACGTTAATTAACAATGCTTAGTATTTTTAATATCTTTTTCCGTATAAAAATGAGTCATAGTAAGCAGTAAAGTTTAGTCCTTTAATGATTAATAACGCAATATTCTCCAATTGACGCGGACAATGGATCAGATGCAACTGCTCTATAATTAGGTCGTACTCTTTTATCATTCCCCAGCGATATGTTGATAGCAGACATACACCAATCTTCCATCCTACCTTCTTAAGATAATCGTTGATTCAATCTCTTTTGCATTTGTAATGGATCGCGCTTGCGAAGTTTACAGGAATTTCTTTCTGCACGCGATTTTACGTTTGCGCATTTCCTATCAAAGAACGTCTAATAGTTTCAATTTCTCTCATATACATACACAGCATGTATATCTCAAAGTTTATTACAACGACATTTGTAGTAGGTTCGGCGTAAAGAACATCAATTAAAAGGAATTTATTACTTACCAATATTCTGTCTTACTACGTAAATAACCTCCGTCAGGCCATAAGAGATAACACGAAATTCTGGTTGTTCCATGAGAATATCTGCAATTGGCTATACATTAGTTTCCTTAAACAAATTGAAATAAATATGAATATTGATTGCCGTAATAGTTATATTATCCGGAATCATAAAGAGAAAAGACTCGTTAAATATTTCTAATCTATTATTAAAGTGCATATGCTTTTTGCTATCAAATATCAATCTATAAGGGTTAAAAGTTTTTTATGTTCCTTTATGCAGGATGATATTGAAGCCGAGAAGAAGGTTTAACGGGATGGATATAAAAAAGGAAACAGTGTGAAAGCTATTGGAATGGAGCATTTAATGCGACTGTGTAAAGTAGATTTTGAAATTGCTAAGGAATATTTGTGCGTCTATAAATCTTATTTACTACAAAAAAAAATCAATAAAATATAATGATAATAAAGATATCAAGTTTGCTCGCGTATGCGTATTATTGAATTTCCATGAAACACACTAACATTTTAAAACATCACTGCTCGTTTTACGCTAAGTATAACAATTTGCATGTCTTGATATTTAGCATAATTTGCAGTACGATGCGTGAAATTTATTTTCTATTACACAAAGCTGTTTTTAACTCGTTAAAATTCATGAAAAGCTATTTATTATAGAAGAAAAATATAACTGACGCTAAAAATGTGCGAACGGCTTTAGAAGCATGCGGTCAGCTTTAAAGGATAGGATCAACTTTAGGATTCACAGTGGAGCAAATGTAATATGTGTGCCTGTGTGCTTAGGATAAGAAGATTCTTAGAATTAGTTTCTTTTGGTTACATATTTTTTCTATTTAAAAATTATATTCTTATGGAAAAACAACATTTCCAAAAATTTTTTCTGAAATTTTTTGTATTTTAGAAACTACAATTTTTGTTATTTTTTAATTATAAATAATGTACTGTTTAAAGTAATTAGTAAATAATAAATATATAAAAAAAAATCATAAGCAAAGAGAAAAATTTAAGGCGAGAAAATAATTGGCTTTTCTATTTACTAAGAGTGATGGAAAACTTGAAGCATTGCCTGACTACACAAACGGACTATGCATTAAACCAATATACATATAGTCTGCGAATTATTTTGAAACATTTAACGTTAAAATTAAAAAATATTAAAATGTTAAACAATTTTATGTTATCATTATTAAAAATCTCTATCTTTAAATTTTAAATTCATTTACTTTTAATTAACATTATCTTTATTTGGATAATATTTTACTTATTAGTTTATTTTATCCATTTTTTTAAATAAAGTATAACATGCTTTTATTCTTTTTTATTTTATTATATCTTTATATATTAATAACTTATAACAATAATGATCTATCTTAAACACTTAATGTAAAACGTACAAATATGATATATAAAATAGTGTACAATGCACAAATTTACATATGAAATGACTTATAAAAATCCAACCTTTGCAATTCTAAAAATATTTATAAAAATATTTTTAGGGTTGCAAAGGTTGGATTTTTATAAAAATATCAATGCGCAGATAACTACCTGGCGAAATACGTACAAGCCACGAACTAAGGCTCTATAATTGATCGTGAGTCGATACATGGAGGAAGGGACTATAGAAGCCAAAGCCACATTTCGACAATAACGTATTTAAAAGCCGTATTTTTATGTCGTATAAAATAAAAAATATTTTTAATAGAGCACATTTTCTTGAATATTTCTTTACCGATTTCTAACATAAAAACTCAAATATTACTTTGAAATTGTATATAATTAAATCATAAATATAAGAACATCTTATGAGCTCTTTTTACACAAAACACATCTATTTAAAAAAAATGTATATTACGGAAATGAAATAAGAAGTTTGATATGACCTATCATGCAAAGAATCAGGTTTCGCATTAATAAAATAATTTTATGGTTTAATCCGAAATACATTTTTCTTTATTTCTTTATAGTGTTCAAGAAAGTTTGTATTTTCTGTTTATAAGAAAATTTACGAATGTCAAAATTTAGTCTCAAAAATGTAACTATAGATAATTTTTCATAGATGTATTTACTTGAAGTACAAAATTAAAAATTAAAAATTAAAAAAATATACAATATATATATACGTATATACCAAAAAGTTTAAAATAAAATATTACTTTTTGGCATACTCTATAGTATGTAATGTATCCTTGTAGACGTGACTGGAATTTCACATTTGTAACATGATGTATTTATTATCACTAAACGTATTTGAAACTGATAAATACATCTTCAAAGAATATATATTTAATTGATATTATCTGTTATACATACTATAAGAAATGACATGTAAAGTGAAAAAAAAAACACAAAGGCACAGAATTAAAATATATTAGTTAAATAATATCACCATCATAAAATATGAAAAACATTACATTCTATTGCACTTTATACCATCTACATTCTCAATCTAAAAAAATAAAAATTTATATTATTATAAAAAAGAGAGATAATAAAAATATATTACAACTGCATGCTCCGATGTTACTGTAAGTAACAACAAATGGCTTTTGATAATTACACTTGCCTGCGAGATGTCGTTGTGGAATATAAAAGACACGGGATCGCTAGTGCAGATGAAATGCTCCAGATTAAAATTAAAGTAATCACCGTTCTCTTGCGAGACATATGATGTTTCAGAGGGTGCATAATGGCCATGTATCTGTAATAAACGGCATGACGTAGCTATTTAATATTCTCCAGATTCCAGCGAATTACTGAGATTTATGGCAATTAATGAGTTTCTTTTATAACTCGTGGGATGCTACTAAAAACTCTAAATAAAAAATCGGAATTGCGAAAAAATTTATCTTTAATCGCGATTTTATCTATATCGCGATCTCGAATCACATATTTTATAATTTATTCATTTAATCAAATAAGAATTAAAATAATAAAAAATCAAATTATAAATTATCGTTTTGTTGCGTTTTTTTTACGGACAATAATTATTTCTTTAACAACACATAGAGTCAAATATATTTTGTCCGCGATGCTATATTATTTGATTTTTTGATCTAGATATAATTTGGATTAAGAATGTGCTAAACATTAGAGTTATTAGTAGTGTTTTTTCTCAAAATTTATAAAATTATTTTATTTATCTACTTATTATTATATACATCGAATATAAAATTTAATGCGTATAATAAATTTTTTGAAATATTAATTATTTTGAGCGCTACTACAATTTGAATAAGACGCGCAATTAGGGCACGCGGTTAGGGTACCTGATTAAATATCGGAGATACGTTCTCCAAATCTTGAATTTCTGTTGGTTTAACCAACAAGTAGGATTGTTAGGGCTATTAGGGACCATTAGGATATTAAGGAAAAAACTAAAAATAAGATCACAATATATAACAATATCCACACAACTTAAATATATTTTTAGGAAAATTAAAAAAATAAATCACAATAATATTATAAAACATTATAATATGTTGTAATGTATATTGTATGTTAAAAATATTATAAATTTATATATATATATATATTGTGCATTTATAATGTAAATGTGTATAAACCCAAATGTATGTTAATGCTTTCAGTATCAAATTATTTGCATTATAAAATATTTATATAAATTGAATATATATATTTGATAGTGATAGCATCATCAATTTGTAAATTTCATAATTATAATTGTATCTTAATTATAATTAAATATTGTAATTATAATTGTATGTAAGTTATATGAAATTTGTAAATTACACGAAAAATTACTAAAATGATACGTATAATGACAATATATAGAAATTAGTTTAATTAACATATATATATTTGTTTCTAAAGTATGTATCGTAAAAATATTCTCACACTTAAATTTAACCGTGTGTGTTTCCATATCAAAGAGTCATTGATAAAATCGGGAAACTTTATATATATTTTATATATATTTCAAACTTACTTTATATATATATCAAACTTACTTTATATATATTTCAAACTTTACAAATTTTACAGATATATACAATTCTTTGGCATTAAAAATATCGAATAAGAGTGTGAAGATTCCATATTAAAGTAACGGTTAAATATTAGCTTTTCATGAAATTTAACGACTGTCCTCGATATTGCAGAATCGCGAGTAAATTAGTACGAATTTTATGATTTATTTTCAATTAGAGATTGATATATTTACGAATTCCGTATTGCAATCAAATATTCATAAAATAAATTAATAAATTACATTGCGAAAACACAATATTTTTTCCGCGTTTTTTTCCGTTTTTTCTGTTCTTGAATTATCGGTTCGCGAATGCTGTCCCTTTTGTCAGGTGAACGTTAATAAAATTGTCTGGTTCGTACCGGCAAGTAGTCGAAACGATCTTTATCGTGGAAAATTATTTCTTGTTGGTTTTTGTAAGATCCATCCGTGATGTCTAGTTCGGTACTTTGTTGAAAATGAGAGATTTTCGTTGCAAGATTGGAATTAATCCTAGGTTTTCCTGGCAATTCCTGAAAGTAATGGTTTCGGTATTAACACAATAAATGGCCAGGAGCAACGAAAGGTAGGTCCAACTGGCCCGAAGAATGGATATAGGCTACGCAAAATAGGCGGCCAATACTAGCTAAAATGCGTAGCGAGAGGTATATAAGGTACGATTAGGGCATGCGATTAGGGCACGCGAGTAGGGCGCGCGAGTAAGACGCGCAATTAGGGCACGCGGTTAGGGGCTTTGTTAAAATCGTTGGGTCTGTTATTTTCTATAAAACGTGGTACTAACGCAATTTTTTATAACGATATTTTAAGGTTTGTAAGACCCATTTTAACCTGTTAAAACAATCATCCGCGAGATAGAATATATATCTTATTGTTGATCGTGACATTCGTATAAAATGGCGTATCGGAAAATAAATCGGGCGGTGGATACTATATTACAGATCTCAAATGTCTGTCGAAATATCTTTATATATAAAAATGATAGTGATTACATCGCGCGCGCGTACGTGTGCATGGGTTTCGATTATTATAGAAATTACACGTATTGCAATCGAATATTATGAATACGATGATTTATTTATTTGTCGCGTTTGTTTGCGAATTTTAAATCACAATTTATCTTATAATTTAATCGTTGATTTCCATCGAAGCTTTGTATATATTTTTGCATTTTGGATATTTCCTTTGAAAGTCTGCGCGAAATGCGCCAGTAATATAAGTACTTTCTTCTACAATTAAAAACGATTGATAACTTTATTAATGACTCTTTTGGTCGCGAGTCTTTACATTATATAAAACTTATTAAGTTTTATAATTTTATGTCAATTATTAATAATAAATATCGCGTAATTAATCGTCGCTAAAAAGTCTTGTCTAATCTAAAAATTTCTAATAACTTTTTTATTATACGCATATTTTGGATATTTTCGTGTAATGTCATGTAAGAAATTATTTTGTATTATATTTCGTATATTAAATTTATTGTATCATTTTATTTATATTAGAATAAGAATAAAAATAAAATAAACCCTAACCCTGTGAAATGAAAAAGAGGAAAACTGTCCTCACACATTTTTCCTCCTCAATGGTATCTCCACCTTAACGAAGGCATTTGCCGGGTGAGGAGGTTTGAGTACTCTAATGAACCTGAGAGCTATGCCGGCGGTAACAGCATTTTCGAGTGAAACAAGTTTGGTCGTTCCAAGACCGATTAATGATGTCGTATACTCCGTCGTGGATTATTAGAAGTATTTGAATTGTTAGATTAATCAATGAAATATTTCGAGTAAGCGTTTGATGATTAATCAAGGCAAAGAATCTTGTGCTTTGAAGCCAAAACAGCATCAAAAATGGGGCATAAACTTTATATTATCCATATTATTAATGTATTATATATTTATATTAATCAAATTATCTTGAACCTATTTTTAATAGAATATATATTCATGGAAAATTGGATTTAATCGCTCTCAAAGCACGTAATTATTATTATATATATATATATATATATATATATATTTGTTATATTAATGTTTTTAAATAAAATGGAAGCAAAAGAAGCAGTAATCGAGAAAATAGAGAAAAAAAGGGATTCCAAAATATTTTTGTACCCTCCTCAGGAATTAGAAATATCTTGATATAGTTATCCTTTTTTTTTCAAAATCAATTAAATCAAAATGATATACACATACTTAATATTTGAACTGTCAAATATGCAGCTCAACCATAACAGGCTTTTATTGATATGAAGTAATACATAGCGCAGAATCGAAATAACCAATCAGTATCGCGGAAAAGAGGCAACAATACTTGCAAATATCAATTTAACATGTATTCTTTAAAAATGGACAATTTTACTATGGCACCTTTTTGTTATCGTTTTAACATTGCTTCTTTTAATAACTATTCAAAAAATATAAAAAACTTTTTGTAGATTTTTGCATGTATTTTTTTGAAGTTTTTCACTTGTTATGCATACAATTTATACGTAAAAGCTTTATACGTATGTGTTCTGCATAATAGCTGTTTCACATGTAATTCAATATGATACGAAATTCAATCATCTGAATAGACCCAATTTTATGCTACATTTGCGTGTAGTGAAAGTGTAAATTGCTGTTGCAAAATGTAATGTTGTAATGGTATTTTAGATTGAAAATATTCCTCGCATATTAAACGTAACATTGTGCCATACATAAAGCGTAACACTATTCGAATTTATTTCTGTATATTATCATTGTACATAAGACTATGTAATAATACATAATAAGCCAACACATATTTTATGATCAATAATATGCGATCTGTAACTCTTACTGTAATAGCGCATACACACACGCACACACACACACACACACACACACACACACACACACACACACACACACACACACACACACACACACACACACACACACACACACACACACACACACACACACACACACACACACACACACACACACACACACACACACACACACACACACACACACACACACACACACACACACACACACACACACACACACACACACACACACACACACACACACACACACACACACACACACACACACACACACACACACACACACACACACACACACACACACACACACACACACACACACACACACACACACACACACACACACACACACACACACACACACACACACACACACACACACACACACACACACACACACACACACACACACACACACACACACACACACACATACACATACACAAACAAATGTAACAAATTAAAAAATAGCAATGAATAATTCTTAATAAATTTTGAAATATTTGTGTAAAATTTAACCACAAAATTTATAAATGTATTTACGTAACAAAATACAATATGTTATTTATAATTATTTGGCATTTAATAAAATACTAAATTGTAACAATCGAATGTGATAACAAAATAATACAATATTAAAGCTAATTGGAGTTGCTAAATTGGAACGCAAATTGACGCGATACATAGCTTAAACATACATGCAAATTATCGTGTGTATTTTCAGCAAAAATTCATTAGATTATAAACGAGTCTCTTGCTTCGACATTTGCTTTTAACTCTGCATTGTACGCAATAACAACAGTTTACCAAGTTCAATCAAATAGGATATAGTGATTAATTAAGCCGTATCACATCAAACTTGTAGATTATATATATATATATAAATGGCATCATCTTTCATATG